GAAAACGAAGGAGAGTCCAGGGGGGCCATGGCAACTTGTTGGTTTGTTGCCTTTGTTCGACCCGCCTAGGCATGATAGTGCAGAAACAATCAAACGAGCATTGAATCTTGGCGTGAATGTTAAGATGATCACCGGTGATTAAAATCTTATATTATTGTGCTATTGTTCAATTAAATTTCCAACTAGCACTTAATTGATGTATGAAATTGTCTTTCTTTTATTGATCAGGTGACCAGCTTGCCATAGGTAAGGAAACTGGGCGTAGGCTTGGAATGGGGACGAACATGTACCCATCTTCATCACTACTCGGCCAAAACAAGGATGAATCTGTTGCAGGACTTCCTGTAGATGAGCTGATTGAGAAGGCTGATGGTTTCGCTGGAGTATTTCCTGGTTAGTGTTTGATCAGAAATTTTTATTTCCCCCTTACAAATTACAATTAGTCTAACTAAATAAAGTATCTTTAAAGCTATATAATTTTTGGAAACATAATAAGTATCCCATTTCCTGATATTTGTTAAGAATAACAAATATAAATGGGGCATTTGTGATTTTTGAATAATTACCAGAGTTTTCTCGGTTGGGTTTAGTTTTTTTTTTTTCTTTTAAAAAAAAGTCGGTGTTTTACTTATTTTTTTATTCAAATTTTATTGATTTATAGAACACAAGTATGAAATTGTGAAGAGACTTCAAGAGAGGAAGCACATATGTGGCATGACTGGAGATGGTGTAAATGATGCCCCAGCACTAAAGAAGGCAGATATCGGCATTGCCGTTGCTGATGCTACAGATGCTGCCAGGGGAGCATCTGACATTGTGTTAACCGAACCTGGTCTTAGTGTCATTATAAGTGCAGTTCTTACTAGCAGGGCCATTTTCCAGAGAATGAAAAACTACACTGTGAGTGGGATCTTTTTACTATCATTACTCCTATTTTATGTTTTCATTATAATGTGAGATTTAGATAGCTGACTTTTCACTTTCCTTTTTTTTTCCAGATATATGCCGTCTCGATTACTATCCGTATAGTGGCAAGTGTCGCGTTCCAGCTCTAGATTATTCTAATCATTTGATGCTGTTAAATGATTTATTTATTCTTTTGTTTCGACACTGCAGTTTGGATTCATGCTTATTGCTTTGATATGGAAATTCGACTTTGCTCCATTCATGGTTCTTATTATAGCTATCTTGAACGACGGTATAAAATTCCAAAAAAGCTATTATTAGTTCTATATACTGTGCTCATTCACATTTGTCTACTTTATCCTTATCTTGCTTTTATAATTTCTAGGGACCATCATGACGATTTCAAAGGACCGAGTCAAGCCATCTCCTGTACCCGACAGCTGGAAGTTGAAAGAAATTTTCGCCACCGGAGTTGTCTTAGGAGGGTACTTGGCACTAGGGACTGTCTTATTCTTTTGGCTCATTCATGAT